CAGTTAAACAAACGAGCACAGTAGAACAATCACTGGTACAATTGGTTATAATAATAATTGTTCTGTTGACAAAAGTAGGTCACTACAAACTCTTGACCGAATATTGTTAGCTAGTGGCGTGTGCAGTAAAACTAAAATGTGCAGCAACAATCTCGAGTGCTTGCAGGCCACTTTGAGGTATAGTTCACAGATACAGTGTGATTAGAACTATCCGAATTATTGTGCTAATTAGGAATCCCCGAAATAGCGCAACCCAAGTAGACAGAACTAGGTGAACACAAACGAATGCATTGTATTTGAAATTCGAAGTCAGACAGTCATCAATAGTTCATACAAACATCACATACAGTCATCTCGCATTTAATCATCTATTGTTAGTTAACTTTGTAGGCGACTATATAAATATTCCCCCACACATCGTTGATATCTTTTCCTCGAATTAGAGACCAGTATTTTTCTTGCCTTAAATATATGCATTCAAGTTGATCATATTTTTATTTCCTTTAATATTTTATGCTCTATTGTCAACTGAATATCTTTTTAGTCATTGTAGCAGAACAATCATTCTTATTCGCACATGGTTAGTTATCTATATTGATTGACATAGACACGTCGAATCCGCACAATTGTATACTCATTTTGGATCACAGGAACTTATCAAGAGTGTGACCACCAAGTGTATTAATTCAATTCAGTTTGTTGTAGTGTGCTCGGCTTTATGATTAGTCCTAAACCTTTACTCGTAAATCTTTCTATTTTAAGTGTTTGTTCGTCTGCCTCCATGCTCTTATTATTCTATTATTCTCATAGCCTATTATATATATATATTTATATTGATGGAGTTTTGTTCTCTGAGCTGGATGGTTTGGTCCTGGAGCTTTCATCGTTCTTCTGAACGACATCATCAGCACAAACTTCAGATAGAAGTGAAGTATTCGAATTTCTCCATATGCGTTTCACAGATTATTCTGTGTACCTCGATGTGGATTGGTTCTTATTGACCTTAAATTTGTCATTGTTTACTTTTATGTCTTGGTTTTGTTTCCTTTTGATTTGATTCTTGTTCCTATCTTTGTGCATAAGTTTCCTGATTGGTTGGTAAGTCGGATCGATTTCAATATGTTTGTTGATTGCTGATTGATCTGGGTGGCAGGCTTGTAAAAATCCTCTTGTGTTTTCAAATTTTCCTCTGTCCACGATTTCCACATTTTTCCAATCGAATGTGTGTCCGCAGTTGTCCACATGTATTGATATAAGTGAGGAGATATCATGCCGTATCACGGCTAATTGATGTTCATGTAGGCGCAGGTGACGGGGGCGTCCGCTTTGTCCGACGTTGTTTTTGTCGCAGCTGACACAATTCATTTTGTAGATAATGTTCGATTTATCTTCTTTTGTTATTTCATCCTTTGGTTTGCATAGGATTGACTGAAGTGATTTTGTCGGTTTGTGTGCCACACCTATCTCGAAGGTTTTTAGCAGTCTTGTTGCGGTTTCTGATATGCTATTTATGTATGGTAGGGTGATTCGTTTGTTGATTTCTGTGCTTGATTTGTGCTCTGATGCTGCATGTGGTTGGTATTTTTTGATGAAGTTGATTGTGTAGCCATTCTTTTGAAATACTTCCTTCAGGTATTTCTCTTCCTTTCTCCGAGCTGCCAGTGTGCTGCAGTGTGTCCTCGCCCTCTTGAACAAAGTTTGTCCGCAGTTGATTTTATGTGCTCTTGAGTTGTTGCTATTGTAGTTCAAAATTTGATCTGTGTGGGTCGGTTTCCTTGATACTTGAGTTTCTAGTTTTCTTGGCACTCGGGTCAATCAGCAATCAACAAACATATTGAAATTGATCCGACTTATCAACCAATCGGGAAACTTATGCACAAATATAGGAACAAGAATCAAACCAATAGGAGTATGATTATTAGAAGAATTTGAATTATAGTATAAACTAAAAATCCCAGAAATAACGCAATTGAATCGAGAAGTACTACACAAGCACAAAGGAATGTATTCTATTTAGAATTCGAAACCAAACATTCAACAAGTACAAAGCAATCATTAGTTCATTCAAACACCACAAAGAAACAAAGCCAAGACAAAAAAGTAAACAATGACAAATTTAAGGTCAATAAGAACCGATCAACATCGAGGTGCACAGAATAATCTGTGAAACGCATATGGAGAAATTCGAACACTTCACTTCTATCTGAAGTTTGTGCTGATGATGTCGTTCAGAAGAACGATGGAAGCTCCAGGACCAAACCATCCAGCTCAGAGAACAAAACTCCATGAGAATCATCCACCTGAGCTACAACTCTTCTCCACCACCTCAATATATATATATATATTTATAACAGTATATGATACCCTTTATTGCACACTGAACAGATGTTACTTCACTCCATTTCATTCTTATTCATATTACACCTGTCTAATGCTAGTGTGGGTTTAAGTCATCACACTACAGTCTCAGACTATTATAATTTGTGTTAGCTCCACTGTGCTCATTTGTAACACAGATCCTGGATATTCTAATTTCCCAGTACTCTTCACTGAAATTTTCCAATATAATCCATGGAATAGTCTAGGATTGTTGAATCGGAAGATTTATTTAATTTTTAGACAAAAATATCGTAATGTATGTAACCGTTGATATCCAAACTTCTGACATTATCAGTTATTTTAACTTTTTATTTACAAGTAATCCTTGTGACTAATCTCAATAAAGCAGTGCAAACTTTTTCATACACGAAAATTCCATAAAAGATCCTACACTAGTTATCTTTCAAAGACATCTTCAAACTCCTTCCTCTTTGACTTTTAGTTTGACTGGTTCTAGGATACTCTATTATTGGGTTGTTGAGGACAACAGGGCTGTCAAACTCTGAATATCTGCGACATCTTTAGATAGAAATAAACGAAAAATTTAAAGGTTCAGTAATCTGCAGCAGGGTGGATTTACGTATGACTTTTGAGCTTAAACATGTCACAAATATTCAGAGTTTGATATCGCCTTAACTAGCAACACCTTTTATAATCGAAATATGCCAACCCAGACACGTCAGAAGTCAGAAGCGAAGAGGTTCGAAGACATGTTTGATAGTCTATCGATATATCGAGATGTAATCAATCTAAGCCGGCTAGCTGTTATAATAGATATGAAGCACGGTACACCCACTAGCGATCTTGTATAGATGCGTGACTGAGCGCCTTCAGCTAAGTGAGTCCAGTGAAACTAATTAGGTCAGCATCGATTTCGAAGACTTACAGAACTTTTATTTTAAAAAATATTTCTAATGGTGTTGATATCTACACAATATCTCCTTAAAAATCTGTACCACTCCCTTAATCCAGACTTTTTACGCTCAAACTTAAAACGTTGCGCTGATTGCTAAATATTTTTGAGATGACTTTTCTAAATCGTTGATTACTTTACGTTTATGTCAAGTGTTACCGGATAGATAAGAGAAGTTTCATCTTAACTGTTACATAAACTTATTTCTACTGATATGGCTTAGAACACTGACTCGGATTGTTGTTTATTCCTATAATTATAATTGAAGTCTACTTCTTCATTGTCGATCAGAGACATATCACTGTGTCCACTCCATAACAGTCTGCATACAGGTGAAATAATGTCAGGTGGTTTATACTTCCTCGATGAAATCAAAGACAATTAACACGGATTATTCGATAGCAAGCCATGGACTGTCTCATGGTTCCGTTATGTAGCGCTACAATCTGTTTTCACCGGTGAATGTTACTGCTACAGCCCGTCACCAAGGGAGACATGCCTTCTGATTATCGCGGTACTAAAAACCAGGTTAAGTGTTAGCTGCGAGATGTGACGTCGATGTTGGCTGTTGTACCACTGCCGTTCAACCCGATTGGACAGACTGCACACATAGACTAACATGTTGACAATCCGCAGGTTTACCTCCCTTCCTTTTGGCCTGACGGATCCAGGTTTGGGATTGCTTTGTACTACTATTTGATGGTTACTGTAAAAAGTCCAGTCGACGTGCAGTTTCTTTTCCTTATTTCATCTTTATCTGGAGGCTGGTTTGTTCTCTACCATTATAGGTTATTCTGATGATTTTTCGGTTATGGATCTAGAGTATCTAACGTAGACAAATATCTGTTCTGCACTTAAGGTGATTGTGGCAGGTTTCCAACTTTTAGCTCCATATGAACGACCTCTGAGCTATTCGGAATGAACTTGAAAAAATTCATTCGTTTACTAGGATCAAAAGAGGGTCGTAAATTATTGGAAAGAGATGTGATGTACAGTTATGTGTTAGGGTTAGCAATTAGAGTTCTTATCACGAATTGCAGACATAATTACGTTTACTTAGCTAATGTTAACATAAGCCATAGGACTATTCAATCATATAGGTGAGAGAATTTTGTTCAAAAATCGTAGACCTGCTGCCTTAAGTCAGCACGGTATGTCAAAGTAAATAAATCTTTCGCTGACATGATTCATATGCTTGTAGATGTGTAATTTGTTCGCGTACATTGACTCGCGATTATCTGTTGTATTTACCAGACCATTTTCCCGTTAAAACATATGTTCTCAAAGTAAGTTGAAGAGGCAATATATACTGGACACCAGTTTGTCGGCTGTGTGCCCGGATAATCAATAGAAATCATGTGTTCAACATCATTCTCATTAAAATGAAATAAGCTAAAAAATTATACAGGTTTCAAATCCAGAAAATTCTGTCTCCCATAAAAAGACGATACCAATCAGCCAGTGAATCCACACAACATTATATTTCATGTCTCAGCGAAGTTCCTTGAAAAATAAATTTACTTAATGAAACTAATTTTACAATATCTAAATAGGTCTTGCTAGTTTCATTCACTTCATAGCATATGGTAGATTACCCTCCCTATTAGGCTACTTCTTACATCAAAGCTTCTATATCTGAATCAATAGGCAGAGGATTGTATTACAGTCAACTTCCTCAAGTGTTTATAACAATATGGGTCATTCATAACACACGTTTACGTGCAGTTTTAAATCCTGAAGGTCTCTGGTCGGCGAACGGTAAGTGTGTCGCTTCGCGTAATATTACTAAATAGCTGTGCCGATAAGAATATGATTTACGGGCGAATCAATAAGACTTAAGGCAGTAGGTCTACGATTTTTGAACAAAATTCACTCACCTATATGGTTGAATAGTATTATGGCTTATGTTAACATTAGCTAAGTAGACGTAATTATGTCTGCAATTCGTGATAAGAACTCTAATTGCTAACCCTAACACATAACTGTACATCACATCTCTTTCCAATAATTTACGACCCTCTTTTGATCCTAGTAAAAGAATGAATTTTTTCAAGTTCATTCCGAATAGCTCAGAGGTCGTTCATATGGAGCTAAAAGTTGGAAACCTGCCACAATCACCTTAAGTGCAGAACAGATATTTGTCTACGTTAGATACTCTAGATCCATAACCGAAAAATCATCAGAATAACCTATAATGGTAGAGAACAAACCAGCCTCCAGATAAAGATGAAATAAGGAAAAGAAACTGCACGTCGACTGGACTTTTTACAGTAACCATCAAATAGTAGTACAAAGCAATCCCAAACCTGGAAAGGAGGTAAACCTGCGGATTGTCAACATGTTAGTCTATGTGTGCAGTCTGTCCAATCGGGTTGAACGGCAGTGGCACAACAGCCAACATCGACGTCACATCTCGCAGCTAACACTTAACCTGGTTTTTCGTACCGCGAAAATTCACTCACCTATATGGTTGAATAGTATTATGGCTTATGTTAACATTAGCTAAGTAGACGTAATTATGTCTGCAATTCGTGATAAGAACTCTAATTGCTAACCCTAACACATAACTGTACATCACATCTCTTTCCAATAATTTACGACCCTCTTTTGATCCCAGTAAACGAATGAATTTTTTCAAGTTCATTCCGAATAACTCAGAGGTCCTTCATAAATTATAGTCTCACCGAAAGCACCAGTGATCTCTTCATACGGCACAATAGCTTTGATTTTGTTTAGAATTATCAGAATCAACGTTAATACATCAAGAATTGACAGCTATCTTACTGGTTCGTAAAGTAATAATGAGTCCCATGTAGCACGATACCTGGGTTTAGTTTTGACCACTGCTATGTACCTAACATTAAGTGTTCCAAATAAACGTCATCTATTTCAATCAGTCCTAAAGGCGTGTTCTGTCACAACTGCAGATCTTCATCGAAAACCCAGCTATGTTACCTGGGGCATTTTTTAATATCATAAAATCATGCTATTTTCGAAACACGTTTAAAACAAAGCAGTTATTTCTCTACTGAAGTGTTTTCGCAGAAGCAGAAGTTAAACTGTCACTAACTACTAGGTTTTTTAGATAATCTAAAATAATTAAGTACTGTTAAGACGGATTTAACTTATAAGGTCATATGATAGTTTGGGAAGTTAAATTGGTTTCACCGGCAGTCATGTCTTAGTTTCAAGCATCTATAAATGATCTGGATATCTTTTTAGTTGACGTCGTGGAACACATCTTAGTATTGTTGCGGTAATCTCGTTGGTTTCGAGTAGAAAATTCTAGTATCAGATTTTTTCGCCATAATATCTCGTCTAAACTGACTGATCATTTACACGGTGTGGGCAGCCGGGAAGTGATACCAGCCCTCATACCCGTAACAGCACACGAGACCAAGTTGGTCACATTCAAATCCTTCCTACACCTCCTAATAACTCTCTTATCTCCACGACTAACCCTTCTCACGTCCCTTTATCACCTCGCCACGCTAGTGCAAACGATTCGAGTACGCGGAACGTTATTCCTGGTCTCCTGAAACCACGCTCTAAACTGCACGTAGGAGCTTTCAACGTCCGAACACTGTGCCAAATAGGACAACAGGCTTCCTTAGCTAGGACTTTAGAATCTCGCTCCATCGATGTGTGCTGCGTCTCCGAAACACTCACACAGGATCCTAGTAGTGTCATTCATTTGACCTCACCATGTCAAATTAACAAACCAACTCGATTTACGCTTCGTTTATCTGGAAGCCTTGATGCTGCTTCCCGTAGCCTCGCTGGCGTAGATATAGCATTGAGTCCTAGAGCAGAACTGCCCCCAAATGCCCTGGTATGGCCGAGAGTGGGGGGAGTCCGCTCCTCCTCTCGAAATGCTCTCACATGGCCACGCGTATACAGCCCCTGCCAGGGAAGTCCTACTCACTGCCTTCTCGTGGCAAGGGTGTTGTTTACGAAAATGAGAGGACAAAAAGCGAATGTCCGGCGCTTTACCCGGATCCCAAACCAATGGTGTACATGGGCTCCAGTATCCTGCGGGAACAAATGGCGTATGAACCAATCGTTGGTCACCGGCTACCATGGGACTGCATCTCCTCACGATGCTCCACTGCCTTGTGGATCAGATCTTCAGGTCAAAGGCTCGGGGTGTGGCCCCCTAAGAAAACCACCTGCTTCGGTTTGGGCACCCGGGTAGTATCACAGCCCTCACACATATCAAATGAGATCTGTGTGGCGCATATGTATTTGGTGCCTTCTTGCACCGATATCTATGTGTTAAAATAAATAAATAAATAAAGAGCAGAACTAGGTCTCTTAGACTGGATGCCAGTCGTTTGTGCGCTGTCCGACTAAACGGAACATATTTATTTATTATTTATTTATTTGAACACAAATATTGGTACAGGGGGGGCACCAAATATATATGCGCCACACAAAACAATGAGAATTTAAGAAGGGAAAAAAGGTAAGGAACTTAGGAAATTATAAAAAAGGAGGACAATAATGGGGGAGACAAAAGGTACACTCAGAAGAAATCTTACAGTTAAGAAAGATACGTGGTGGAATTCTCTCGGACGACATTCGTAGAACATATCCAAGCCACCGAAGTCGGTGTTTCAAGATGGTGACACCAATTGCATTATCGTCTCTGTGCCCGAACACACGACGCCGAACCTCTGCATTACTAACATGGTGTTGCCAGTGGATGTTAGCAATCCTTCGGAGACAACGATGATCGAACACAGAGAGTCGTCTAACGTCCTCAGCTCGGAGAGGCCAGGTTTGATAAGCATAGGGCAGAACTGCTCTCACCGACGCGTTGTAGATCCGACCTTTTAGAGCCAGACTAACATCACGAATGCGCCGAAGATGGCCCAGATTGGCATAAGCCGCTCTGGCTTTCACTATACGTGCATCGATCTCATCACTCACGCCACCACCAGCACTTGTGTAGCTACCCAGATACACGAACTTCTCGACTACTTCTATCTGCTCACTATCCAGAGTGAGTACAGGATTAGAATCCTGTCAGTCTTGTAGAAGTACTTTGCACTTAGAAGGTGCAAAGCACATACCATACCTATGGACACTGATTGTCAACTGATTAAGTGTGGATTTTATGGCTTGGGCATTATCGCACAGTAAAATAATATCATCCTCATAATCAAGGTCGAGAAGTTTTTCTCCAGGCAACAGATCCACACCACCATTACTTACATGCACCAGAGCTGTTTCCAGAATGTCATCGATGGCAAAGTTGAAGAGGAATGGTGAGATTGGGCAACCCTGCCTAAACACACTGCTTGAATGGAATAATGGAGAGATGTGGTTGTATGCCCTCACTCTGCCTGAGGTGTTTGTGTATAGGGCTTTTAGGATGTTAATAAACTTCTCAGGCACACCCTTCTTCAATAGACAATCCCAGAGAACAGTTCTGTCCAACGAATCGAAGGCAGCCCTGATATCAAGAAACACTACGATTGTTGGCCTTTGATAAGTATGGCGGTGTTCTAACATTTGGCGGAGGGTGAAGATATGATCAATACATTCTCGACCGGAACGAAACCCAGCCTGCTCCTCGCGAGTCAATTTTTCTCGGGTTTTGAACAACCTACGAAGTAGAACGGAAGTCAATAGCTTGGACGCAATCGGAAGTAGACTTATCCCCCGATAGTTGTTACAGGAACGACGTGAACCCTTTTTAAAGATAGGGACAACTATCGACTCATTCCATGACGCTGGTACACACTCTAGTTCCCAGACCTTTGTAAACAACGTCGTCAGTCCCTTAGTCGGAAAGTCACCACCATCTTTAAAAAGAGCCGGAGGTAAGTCGTCTGGGCCCAGCGATTTGTAACGTTTCAAGAGTTGGAGTTCCTTGTGGACTTCCGCTTCATTTAGTGGATCAGTTGTCACCGGCCATGGAGGGAAGGACAGTCTGACCGATGTTGCCGGAGCAGCAGGCCAGTTGAACTGCCCTTCGAAGAATTCTGCCCATCGTCCAAGACGTCGATGGAAGTTAGTGATTGGCACTTCGTCATCCTCGCAGATTGTTTCGCTCACACCATACTTCTTGCTGCCAGTGGCTCGGATGAGTTAGAAGAGCTTCCGGTAATTACCAGATGCATCTGCTGCTTCCAGCTCATTAGCACGCTCCGACCACCAGGCTTCTCGGTCCTTACGCAAGCTTTGCCCGATTTCATTACGTAACATCCTTCGTCTGTGGTCGAACTCACGGTCACCCGGAGTAGACCGATGGGCTTCAATGAGTTGTAAGGAACCAGAAGAAACCCAGTGCTTATAAGCGGGACGTTTCGCGAACCCACAAGTGACTTTACTCGCCATTTTCATGGCGTCATGCAATTGCAACCAATGCTCATCTATACCTTTCGGTGGAATGGTAGCTAGCCTAGAAGTTAGCTCGGTTCGGTACGTACTAGCAACAGAAGTTGCAACCAGCTTGCTAACATCAATCCTTTGGTGGCGGTCACTTCGTTGTCCACTGAAAAGTAAGGTAAGATTGGCACAGACCAGGGCATGATCAGATTCTACATAGGTACTCCAAAAGGATCGGCTGTCCTGTATACAATCACGCCAGCGGTAGCTGATCGCGATGTGACCAATCTGAGTCCAGGGTTGAGATGCAGAAGGAGGACGCCAGGTGGCACATCGGCGATGACTGTGCCGAAAGTTAGTGCTAGCCAGAAACAGGTCGTGGTCTGTGCACAGCTGCAGTAGACGGTCCTCGTTATCTGTCCTGCGACCAACAAGTCCCCATCGGCCACCTAAACGACTCTCTCCTGTTCCTAGACGCCCGACCTGAGCATTCAAGTCTCCGGCTAGTACTACAATATCTGTCGGATGCACTTTCTGGAGAACAAATAACTGGTGGTAAAATTCATCCTTGATTGCATCCGGGCTGCAATCTGTTGAGGCATAGACGGAGATGATGAAAAGACATCGTTTCTCACGCCGATTTCTTCTCACTTTGATGGAACTTTCTAATCTAACAGCACATAACCGACTGTTAATGGGGATCCAATCGATTAGTGCTGCCTCAGCTCTAGCGCTTAGTGCGACACCAACGCCAGCAAGACCAGACGAAGATGCCACAGGGTCCCCGGATAAACGCACGTAAAACAAGCTTTTTGAAGTGACAGATGGAGAGCGAATTTGTAGTACTTCAACAGTCTTGAATACGGGTCTCGGATAGACAACAAACGTCGATATTAAGACTTTCCAAAGACATAGCCAGCCCTATCTGTTGTCCGACCTGCATAAGTGTGCGAACGTTGAAGGCAGCCAGTTTGAATGGTGCACGTGGTTTCAGAAAAACTGCTTCAGTACTCTTATTCGGTGGTAACATACAATTTTCAACCAGGCAGTGACACGAGAATGTTTAGATAGAGCCGAATGTCCACCATAGGCGAGCTGCTGTATAAGTTGAAATTAAGGATAGACAGAGTGGAAATAAAAGGGAGTGAATAAATGACGTGGTAAATAATAATAACAATAATAATAATAATGTGAATTGTTTGACGGTAAATCGCGGCGAGAATAGAGTTTTCAGAGAAGATCATCATTTTCATTATATTTGTGTGTGGGCTGTGATACTGCCCTGGTGCCCAGACCGAACCAGATGGTTTTCTTAAAGGGTCACACCCCGAGCCTTCGACCTAAAGGTCTAACCCAGAAGGCAGTGGAGCATCGTGAGGAGATGCAGTCCCATGGAAGCCGGTGACCAAGAAATTGGTTCATACGCCATTTGTTCCTTCAGGATACTGGAGCCCATGTGCACCATTGATTTGGGATCCGGGTAAAGCGCCGGACATTCGCTTTTCGTCCTCTCAATTTCGTAAACAACAGTAATGCCACGAGAAGTCAGTGAGTAGGACTTCCCTGGCAGAGGCTGTATACGCGTGGCCGTGTAAGAGTATTTCGAGAGGGAGGGCGAACCCAACCCACTCTCGGTCATACCAGAGCATTTGGGAACTGTAAGGACTCGAAAAGATAGGGACACTCGCCGTTACCTCTTCGTCGTCTCTGCCTACTCTCCCACTGACTGCAGCTCAGATGATGTAAAAGATGAGTTTTACAGAACGCTTTCCGACCTTCTCCGAAAAGCTAGGCGCTCTGACGTAGTAATAGTGGCTGGTGACTTGAATGCTCAACTAGGTAAACTAAGCGAAAGAGAGAGACACCTGGGTGGATCTTATGGTGTCGCGGCTTAAAGAACAGATAGTGGAGACCGTCTGTTGCAGCTATGCTCAGATAACCTCCTGTTTCTTGCAAACACTAACTTTGAGCATAAGGAAAAACATTTTTTAACATGGCGACCCCCTAATTCGTCCTAACGTTGGACCCAAATAGATCACATCGCTATCAGCCACCGATGGAGGGGCTCGATAAAAGACTGTCGCTCATTCTGAAGCACATGCCTAGACTCAGATCATGCTCTAGTGCGAGCGCGTATTTGTCTACGTCTTACTGGACGTAGGAAAGATGGTGCAAGGAAACCCCTTGGGGTCCTACTTAATGATAGTCAAGCTAAGAGTATATTTCAGGAACAACTAGAAAAACAGTTAGGCAGCCATGTAAGTGATGCCACCCCGAGGCAGAGTGGAATGACATCCGAAAAGCTGTAGAAACAGCAGTAATGTCTGCAAGTATGGTAAACCGTAAGGTTAGGGAGAAACACTGGATCTCAACAGTGTCTACTGCCCTGATAGATGCTCGTAAACTCATTCCATCTGGCTCTGAACATAACGAAGAGCGGAGTCAGCTTAAGCGTAAGCTGACTAGAAGCCTACGCAAAGATCGTGAACAGTGGTGGGTAGCGAAAGCAAGAGAGATGGAAAAGGCAGCGGCAATAGGTAACAGCAGGCAACTGTTCAGACTTGTTAAGGAAACCGGTATTAGGAACCCAACTGTTAGCGAAACAATCGCAGAGAAAGATGGACATATTATTCATTCTCAATCCAGGAGATTGGATCGATGGGCAGAACACTTTAGGGATCAGTTCAACATCCTGAAGCAACATCTTGCTTCGGGATAGGGTTGCACCGCCACCCAAACTAGTGATAGGAAGTGAAGTAGTTGAGCGTGTCGACCGCTTCACTTATCTTGGAAGTCTCATCAGCCCTTGTTGTCTGTTGTGTGACGAAATCTCAGCACGGATACAGAAGGCTCGACTAGCTTTTGCCAACTTGCGTCATTTGTGGCGTAGGCGGGATATCCATCTATCAACCAGAGGACGTGTTCACTGCGCAGCAGTTCGCTCCGTCCTACTTTATGGCAGTGAAACATGGGCCTTAAGAGTAGAGGATATTCGTAGGTTATTAGTATTCGATCATAGATGTCTTCGAAACATTGCTCGTATATCCTGGGACCACCGAGTAAGTAATGCAGTTGTGCCCCCAAATGCCCTGGTACGGCCGAGAGTGGGGAGAGTCCGCTCTCCCTCTCGAAATGCTCTCACGTGGCCATGCGTATATAGCCTCTGCCAGGGAAGTCCTACTCACTGCCTTCTCGTGGCGGGGGTGTTGTTTACAAAAATGAGAGGACGAAAAGCGAATGTCTGGCGCTTTAACCGGACCCCAAACCAATGGTGCACATGGGCTCCAGTATCCTGCGGGAACAAATGGCGTATGAACCAATCGTTGGTCATCGGCTACCATGGGACTGCATCTCCTTACGATGCTCCACTGCCTTGTGGGTCAGATCTTCAGGTCAAAGGCTCGGGGTGTGGCCCCCTAAGAAAACCACCTGCTTCGGTTTGGGCACCCGGGTAGTATCACAGCCCTCACACAAATCAATTGAGATTTGTGTGGCGCATATGTATTTGGTGCCTTCCTGTACCTATACTTATGTGTTAAAATAAATAATAAATAAATAAATAATGCAGTTGTTAGGAAACGGGTGCTAGGTAAGGATAGCAAATCAATTGGCGAAGTAGTAAAACTTCATCAGTTGAGATGGCTGGGACATGTGTTACGTATGCCCGGCCACCAACTGCCCCGATGTGCGATGTTTTCTTGTGTAGGATTAGGTTGGAAGAAAGTTAGGGGTGGCCGGACCAAAACATGGCACAAATCCATGAAGTCACTGACAAGTGAACTGAGCCATGTCGGTAGGTGTAGACTACCGGGTTGGGGTCCGCGAAACGATAGCAACCGATGGTTAGAGACCTTGAATGACATGGCTCAAAATTGTTTGCAATGGCGCAGCTGCATCCACTCTCTGTGTTCTCTCAAACTCCAATCTTCTGAATTCTTCATGTCCTTTATTTTCTTTCGAAATCTATTCCACTGGATCATACTCTTTAAATAACATCATCAAACCCAAATGTTCCCTATCACTACTTATACTTTCACTACCTCTACCACTACTGGATTTGAATCGATAACTGAATCTCCGTGCTAATGTGGTATGGCAACTCGAAATGATGTATGTACGTACAAAGTTCCACGTTGTTACTGACTGACTGATCATTTACACTGTCAAATTCAGCTACTGTCCTCATATTATTGGTAGACTCATCATGTTAGCTGAGTGTCCTTACTGAAGTGGGTAGGGATAGATTGTCCTGTGATCCGACAGTTGCCGGACGCCGAAAACCCTAAATTACAACCACTCATTGTCCCTAGTTGGGGAAGTATGAGTATAGGGATTATGTTTTAAATCTAAGTATTATTTCATAGTCATTCGACTTGATCTCGAAAGGCTAGAAATTCAAATTTTATGCTCGTACTTAACAATCTAATAGTGAGTTAAAGACTTATTTGGCAGGATGGCATTCACTGAACTAAATTCCTTACTTTCATGTATTTTACTTTAGGTCCAGATCATGCAGGATTTATTCAAATATTTCGTTTTATTCATTATTTTTTCACTCGAATTTTTACTTGGCAAAAATAATGCTGAACAAGATTATTATGACATTCTCGGGATAAGTAAATCAGCCTCAAATAGTGAAGTTAAAAAAGCCTTCCGGAAACTAGCGTTAAAATATCATCCAGATAAAAATAAGGATGAAGACGCACAGAAAAAGTTTGTGAAAATTGCTGAAGGTAAGTTAGATCATTTCATCTCCGTAAGTTTATTTTCATTGATACATGACCTTTTCGAAAAAGACGTACCAAGTTGTTCACTGGTAATAAATTTATTTTGTTTATTGACCATGGCATCCCTGTATGTTTAAGTCTAACCGGGCTTTGACCATCAATGTTAAGTAGAAGTAGGTCCATTTTTGATTTAGTGATAACTCAAGTAAACTTTGATACATTGGATTGTCGACAAATAACACATAATTTTATAAACAAATGAAAAGTATAAGTTCATATCACCAAGGCAATTCTTTTCCTATAGTAGAATCACGTAGTTTCAGCTTAGTTGTGTCTAATACCATCTCAGACTGTCATGGAAACTTAATAGACGAACAGCTATCCTTTAGCCCATTCCACCAGGTTATAAACTTATCATTGCTTATTCCTCCTAATCTCACTGTTGGAAAATGATGCTCAGCATGAAACCCGTCGGGTCTAATTTTGACTGCTACTGACTTCATTGTTATTGTGTGACGCATATGTATTTGGTGCCCCCTTGTACCAATGTGTTCAGATTTCTGGTCTGAATTACAACCCTATTCTTATTGAAGACCTTTGGTACTGACATGTTGAATACCTTTTAAACACCAGCCTCTTTGAAGAGATCGGTGGTCACAGTCAGGACAGTAGGAAATGGCTTGGTTGTAATCACTATCTTCCAAAATACTGTCTAGCGTGTAAGGTGCCTTTAAACGTCCAAAGCTGCCATATCACTAATTCCACTGACACTAGGTATCCTATTACCAATGGCTCTTATAGTGCCAAGTAGTTTTCCATAGCCAATAAATTCTGGTGGTGGCGTTAGCGATAATGTTCATTTACGCATGTTGTTAACCAAAGTGGTCTATGATAATCTGAGCCATCTTTTGCGCGTCGGTGATGTTTGTCTGGCTGTAAAGGATCGGGTTTATAGCGCGTCAGTGAGGGCAGTTTTGCTTCGTGCTCGTGAAACCCGGCATCTCCATGTTAAGGGTGTTAAACACTCTGAATCCTCAGTAGATTGGACAATAGAGCCAAAGTCCCTAATTGAAACAGCTTGGGATGTATTTAAAACTTTGTACTTAAAGGTTACTTCACCCCGCATCCCTCGGACTAAACCAAAGGGTCCAATAAACTCCCCACCATGGTTCAATATGGGGGTTAGCCCGGACCAATCGGGCTATACTGGCTGGAACATTCGTTTCTCAATGTCCAACTATGCCAGGCAGATCGGCTGAAGAACGGTTATTTATTTATTATTTATTTGAACACATAAATATTGGTACAAGGGGGCACCAAATACATATGCGCCACACATATATCAATTGATATGTGTGAGGGCTGTGATACTGCCCTGGTGCCCAGACCGAAGCAGGTGGTTTTCTTAGGGGGCCACACCCCGAGCCTTCGACCTAAAGGTCTAACCCAGAAGGCAGTGGAGCATCGTGAGGAGATGCAGTCCCATGGAAGCCGGTGACCAAGAAATTGGTTCATACGCCATTTGTTCCTTCAGGATACTGGAGCCCATGTGCACCATTGGTTTGGGATCTGGTTATAGCGCCGGACATTCGCTTTTCGTCCTCTCAAATTCGTAAACAACAGTAATGCCACGAGAAGTCAGTGAGTAGGACTTCCCTGGCAGAGGCTGTATACGCGTGGCCATGTGAGAGTATTTCGAGAGAGAGAGCGAACTCTTCCCACTTTCGGCCGCACCAGGGCATTTGGGGGCGAAGGCGAGATATCCATCTATCAATTAAGCGATGATGAGTATACTGTGCGGCAGTTTGTTCTGATCTACTTTACGACTGCGAAACGTGGCCATTAAAAGTCGAAGATACTCGTAAGCTACTAGTATTTAACCACATATGCCAGGATCACCGGATAAGTAATAGTGAAATTAGACGCAGGGTATTAGGGAGTGATGACGAGTCAGTTGTTGAGGTTGTGAAAAAAATGAGGCGGCCAAACCAAAACATGGCATCAATCCATAAAGTCACTAACTTCTGATCTGAGCCATGTTGGTAAGTACAGTCTACTTAGTTGGGGCCCGCGCAACTATCGTAACCAATGGCTGGAGACTCTAGGTGTCATGGCTCTCGATTGATCACAATGGTATAGGTTTATGCACCTTGTCTTCCCTTAAAGCGTCAGATTAAAATCGCTTTATATCTTTCTACGAACTAATTCTTTCTCATATTCTTATATTCAATCTTATTTTTATATATTACTACCATTAAAAAAATACTTCTGTGAATTCGGTGTTCATCCTGTTGTGCTGATGAGGTATGGCAACATGGACCGATGCATATATGTGCCTGGTTCTACGTTGTAGCTAACTGACTCCTGAGATACATTTACGCACTAACAAACATCTACATGTTTACTGGGTCAATACTGATAAGTATCTAATACACTACTTACTATTCATACCACCAGTAGCGTACTGCAATAGTAAAAACTTTATTTTATTGTTCAGAGTTAATCTATTGTTTTTCATACAGTTTAAGGAAACTATGTTTTGAAATTCTGTTGTAAAATTATTGAATTTCGTCTAATCTCTTTGTATTACTCGATATCTTACTTTTTTCATCTTCTTACCAAGCTTATGATGTGCTCTCTGATGATGAAAAACGTAAACAGTATGATAGTGTTGGACATAGTTATTATACACAACAGCCTGGTGGAAGTGGTGCTCCAGATTTCGATTTTAATAGTTTCTTCCGAAACTTTGATATGTTCCGTCAGCACAGACATACTGATGATCATGGTTCGTTCTTCAATTTCCGTGGTTTATTTGACGACGATGATGGTGATGACGATGGCTTCTTTTCACCATTCGGCAGCATGTTCCATTCATCAGATGAATCTCATGGGTTTATTAGACATCAAGGTAAGTCGTTTGAAACATGATCCCTGAATGTACAACACATATGTACTCTTCAAGTATTTAATTATTGTTGTATTTGAATGTATGTCTTATACGATCTAAACAAGCCAGTAATGCTGAGGTTAAGCGTCTTAGCTAAAGACGGAATGTTCAGTAATAGTTATACACTTCCATCTATTGAAGATGGGTGTAATACATGTTATGCGTGAATAACAAATGCCTATTTTGACATGCGATGCTGAATACCTTGGTAAAAAGCTCGGAGTAGACACATTAAAATATGGCATCGCATCATAAGTTTGTTAACTATTGACCTGAATGAGGTCGATTGGTGTAGATTTCCTGATTGGGACTCGTGCAGTATTTCTAATCAGTAGTTGAACGAAGGCTTTGGATGGAATAGTACTAAATCATTTGGAGTTTAGCAGTTACATTTGTTCTCCTTTTCCCTCCAAATCTTGATTTATGTACCATTCGTAACTTTCAAACTTTCCTTCTCGTTTGCATTTTACTGATCTATATTTTTCGTGTTTAGATTTCCATGACAATTAAATTTAAATAATCTTTCCTCTCTCAATATCCTGATTTACTGTACGCCCATATGAGGAAATACACATCCGTACCAGATTCTACTTTAATGAATATTTGCAGATAATGTGACGATGTCGTAAGTTTTATCACGCAACGGTTCAAAAGCCTGGCAAACAGAAACGACTTACAAAGTATTGATGATTGAACGCTTCGAGCCTTATTATATTCTGTTCTGGCGATCTCATCTCACAGCTAGACTACAAAATATAACTATTCTATGTTCGGAAACCACTTTTTGTTTAAAATTTAGTCAAGATGTCATAGTTTTATAGCCGACAAAAAATCATCTTTTTAACGGTAGTGGTAACCTCTTTAATCAAAATAAATAATAGCCATATTCTTTACCGCTTTTTATAGGTCAACAAAACTGTCAAACTCAAACCATACGAAGAGGTAATACAATTATTACTCAAACACGTTGTTCTTAATTACATCCTAGAAGTGATTTCATTGATATTATTTTGTACGATTATACAAAAATATCTCACTGTTGTTTGCCCTCTTGATAAGCTTAAAATTTTGTACAGCCAGTGGTCGTTATTATAATGTTTCACAATGTCATTTTGTTTATATGAACGTTGCATTACTTTTTCTAATAATCCACATAAAATAACTGGTTGTTCATATCACACACCGTGTTTTGTTTTGCTTGGAAAAAAAATGTTTTTTATATATAAAGATGTATGCATACTCGTTCATCTTTTCTGTTTTATTATGTTGAGACTACCATTGTCTTTCTCTTGTCATTGGTTGGTGTGGATAATTTTAAAGAGTGAAGAAAATGTGTAAAAGGTAATTTCTACAAACATTAAACAACCATGATAAATAAAAATTTCCACTATTTCATTCGTTTGATAGATATAACCAGCTGTTGATTGTTGTTTGGTTCAACAAATTTTCATAATAAAAATTAAAGCCATTAATATATTGTTTTTTTTTCTAACGTGATAATAATGATAATGCAAACTGATTTGTGTTACTATAAACAGAAGTAGTAACTTCATTGTGGACTGAAAAACTGTTGATCTTAATTCACCTGAAGTGTATGATAAATAGCATGATAGAAAATGATATTACATAGTCGAAACCAGCGAGTGTGAATAATTAAACAGATAAAATGTTATTGGTGAGATTGTGATCAATGCGATAGAAAATAATTACGTAACAAGAACTATCTAAGATTAAAAACTTGACTATATGTTGCCTACTTGGGAATTAACATGGAAGTAACAATATAATCTGAGATTAATGGCTATAAAGTTAAGATAAATATATTTCCAAACCTTGACTTAAGAAGTAATAAAATTTCCAGAGCAGTCTTTTGTACTATGAGCCACTAAATCTCCAGACCAATAGTCACACCCTGGATTCACTGACCGTAGCATGCTCCTAATCTACTGTTCCAGATAGCATTGAGTGTTAGAGTAACTCGGTATTCAATATGTTACACATCTCTCAGTCGATAAAGATTCGTAGCCTTATTAATTTGTCTGCTTAATACCCTACACCTAAGTTCAGCGTTGCACACTCCTTTGTTTTATTGTACGTGATTAGTATTTTAAGCATACCTATGGTTAGGTTTCAGTAACTCATAAGTATCCGCTGCTTTCAAAAGCCATGTTTGAGTAAAAATCTTAATATTTGTGTCATTTTAGTTGTGATCATGTATAAGCCAATTTACCTCATGGAAAATTGCCGTTCTCAGAAAATTCTATCCAGTAAAATATCATAAAGACATTTTTGTGTCATAACATTCTACTGATAGACACAATAAAAAATTTGAGCACATAAATACCCGCATAATATACTTTCCTTTAAATGTTTTCAGTGAATAATCACGAACAGTATGGTAGATTTTGATCACTTATTGTTTAATTAGAAATCAGTAATATCATTCAATTACGTACTGTTTCAAACTACTCATTATTGTCATGGTGATATTACAGTGAATTAAAAAGTAATCAATGTTACGAATTAATTATGTACCAAGTCAATTACTTACTGTTATGATTTGATTCTACAAATACTGATAATCTTATTTGAAATATTCCAGTATATGTATATATAGTGAACCAAAGTGGCGGTATATTTAATAAATGTAAATAAGACAAATTTTTTCTGATTGATAATAGTTCGATTAAATATTAACGTTTCAATTCGTCTGCTAAGGTGTACGTTAAAGTTAGAGTTTTACATCCATGTGGTTCGAATACTATTCTATCATGAAACTAATGAAGATAAATTGTTTGACCAATTCGTGTTTACGGGTAAATCTTACCAAACATACATCAAATATTGTCCTCTCATATTCCGGTATCCTAGACGTTAAAAATGCAGTACGTGCAGCATCGTTCAATTCTGATTTGCGTGGATTACCGCGAAGTAAATCAGTTAATGGTCGTAACCGTTCTGCCGCGTGTGGGATGAAACGTCGGTAGAAGTTAACCAAACCGAGAAATGCCTTCAGTGTAGGTGGTACGTTGTATTCCTTTATTGCACGTACTTTGTCCTCGCAAGGTAAAATACCCTCTTGCTTAATGTGACCTAAGAACATTATTTCTGATTTGCCCAATTCACACTTGTCCGGGTTGACTACTATTCCATTATCCGCAAGACGTTGGAATAAGAGTGTGAGATGTTGATAATGTTCATTTACGTTTGATGATGCGATTAGCAGGTCATCAATATAGACGTGAACAAAATCCAAGTCTCGTACCATGCTATCGATAAACCTTTGGAAAGTTTGAGCAGCATTCCGTAATCCAATTGGCATTCGTAGGAACTCGAACAGACCAAAAGGAGTCGTGATAGCGGTTTTCTCGATATCTTCAAGAGTGACTGGAATCTGGTGATATGCTAGTACCAGGTCGATCTTATTCATCCTTCTCACTGTCCGTGGGCCTCACCTCTTCACATGATGCGCAAAAAGGATGGGTTTATTTGGAGACCATGCGGTGACTACCGAGCTTTAAACGTAGTTACACGCTTTGATAATTATCCCATCCCCCACATTCACGGGATCGCTCAAGGGCACGACTGTCTTTCCTAAGATCCACCATTAGGTGGAATAAAAGATTATAATGAAAGGAATATGAATATGCATATAATATAGTTACTTAATAGTCATACAATAAGGATGTTCGTATAATCTTAGTTTATAAGTAATTCTTAACGATTACCAATCATTTATACTCATCCGGATATAACAAATACCATTTATCAACATCCATCTAACTCGATGAATAAGATGTTTTATATATATATATATATATATATATATATATATATATATATATATATATATATATATATATATATATATATATATATATATATATATATATATGATTGAAGATAACCTAGTCTTCAGAGAATAAAAAAGTTAAAGAACGACTATTTGATAAACTGTTTGCAATGTTATTACTTAAAATAAATCACTATAATTCCAATAATCTACTAACGTATTGGAATAGATCTATGGTAAATAGATTCCATTTTTTACAGGTTATTTACTCAAATGTTTTGTAAATGATGGATAGATGTCTTTATGCTTAAAATTACATTATGATATCCAACTACGATACACTAGTCTCCCCATTTTTCTTCAATATCATTATGGATATGATTCTAGAGATAATTCCTGTCATCCAAATTTCCAAAGACTGATATCCCACGAAAAAATTTCTAATTAACATAGAATATGCATACTTTATAATAATGTTTTATGAATACTCTAACCACTTGAGCAACAATGTAAGAATCTATGAAATGTATTTTTACATCTGTAAATACAAACCTTTGCACAAAGACTTATTCCAGAGTCTGACTTGATAACAGAAGATGTAATTAGATGTCTCAACGAATTTGCTTTTATATGAAATCCCATTGGGTCTTGTTGGCGGTTGATGAATACATTTTATAGATACATGCGAACACTTTAACTATATTAACTCTAGCTATCTGAGTTATGGATGAGATGTTATCTGGCTGTCAAACAGTAAATAAAATCTTCAACAATTTGCTTTATATTGTTGTAACGCTTTACAAATTGAAGTAAAATAGTGGACGACTTGTGTAGATTGCTGACATTCGACTACAAATGTTTTTGAATGTCAGTGTATGATAAAACTACTATATAAGTATTGATTAGGGTTTGATTCATGTTACTAGTTCAAAATGAACGATCTGGTGATGAGGGTGTCGACGGAGATAGCTTAAATATATATTACTCATGTTTAGTAATCAGTTATGTTAATGAGCTGAATAGTGTTACAGGAAGCCAAACGACGAAATGACATCATCTTAGAGCATTTAGATTAGAATGCAAGTATTTTTAAGCTGTATAATTTTGTTTTGGAAGATAATAATAAACACTAGGCGAAAAACTCAGGCAACAAACCCGGCGCAGGCGTAGTCATTATTTAGCATTCTCCAAAAAATCCCTAGTATCAGTTTTATCCACTACTTATTATCACTCGGCCTCATTTACTCTTTTCGAGCTGCATGTACTTGTATCCTTTTTTTCTACAATCACTTCAACTCTCGGTTTTCATTCAGTTGTGGCAATTTGAACCAATGAACGTGTGCTTTAGATTTCATGGTATTCATGACTAACTAATATAAGTGTATTTGTTTAACTTTTTTCATTTCAGCCCTTTCTAAATAGAGCTGAACTGGTAACTATTGATATTATATGAGATTGTCGTTATTTACAGGTTAACCTTGTGTGTACAACTATAAACATCAATTGTATTCACATCATATAGCCTAGTTATTATATACTTTTGTGATTTTATTTGAAAAATAATATTTCAGATAGAATTCAATAATTTGAAACCTTTAACTATTAATAATGTTTATTCTGACTTGTATTTAGGTTACTACTATATTAATATCTTACTACTATTTACTAATACGAAAATTAACTGACTCAATATTGACATTTTTTAGATGGTAATACTCGGAAGATTTTTAGTGACCCTGTAATATCTTATTTGATCGTAGGATTATCGTTATCGACTTCTACATGTCGCCAATCCTCGTATATAATTATCGACTTAACTCATGTTAGTGAATAACGGAATTAAATAAGTCAAATACGAGAATGAATTTTGAATACGTGTATTTCATACAATCATTGATCCAGATAAACGATCGAAGAAAAGAAACAAGATGACGCGCAGTAGAGAAGGCATGTGAGCCAACTCGGTTTAACCAAGCGTCAATCGATATATCTAGACAGACAAAAATAAGTTACGGACATGTGATGAGTAAGCTAAGAAATGCACACACATACGCCTACATAAAAGCAGTCAAGGTCGATAAGCGAATAAATAACAAGGTTAAAGTGTGAATGAATAAATTGTTCTGTCTGGAAGCTAGAATAAGCTATGTGGGCGTGACATAGCAACTGACACTACAGGTTACTTATAACAACTAGTTAGTATTCTTAATCTGACCAATATGATTAAGTGTAAAAATTTACCAGAAAAGTTGCTTCTACAAATCTTATCCTCTCAAGTCAATCAAATCAAGTATGAGATAGTAATGGTTCAGTACCATTATTGGATGAGGATTGTAACACCATGAATTGATCGGATTTGATTAAGTATATTACTGGATTCCATTTCATTTTCTGAATGTTAATCTTACTCTCTGTAAAACTTGAAATTTTATGTTCAGTACTGTTTAAGATTGTGGATCCATACTGTTGAGTTGTCAACAAGGACGAAACACATATTCAATACTCTCTGATTTCCATTGATATTTTACACTTGATTTTCTTAGTTTTTGAAGAAAATCTCTTTGAAAATTGTACTTGTAAATCTAAGAATTTTCTAATGATTTATGCACAAACTTACTTTTGAATAAAGTCAGTTTATCCAAGTAGCGTAATTCAATGCTGAACAGTAATCAAGATC